GAAGAATCATGCCATTTTTTCTGAAAAAATTAGAAGTAATAACATTCATTACACTGATGCTGATAATTTTGTCATATCTTATTATGATGCTCGTTGACAGTGCCAACAACGACCAATAATAATGGCTAGCTCCTTAAGTGTAAATTTGCAATACGGTAAATTTTATTTAAATTAATCAAAGAATCAATTGTTACTTTTGCATCTAAGAATTTTTATTTAGGCCGACACTTGTTTTCTGTTGCTTCGCTTGTTCTTCCTTTGGCAGGGAATTTTAAAAAGTCAACATTTGCAAACTGATTTTCAACCGGACAAGTTTTTTTGATTAACATATAACGGGTACGCACTGCCTTATAAACCTCGTGAAATATGCTAATCCAGGTCATTATTTGTTGGTATAATCTTTGTAGAATTGTTCTGCAATCTAGGTCAGTGTAGGTATTCCTTGTTTTATCTGAAAACGTAAAAATACTTCCGGTGAAAGTACCAGCTAAAAATACATACATGGGGACGTGATACTGAGGAGTCAATTTTTCTTTGTTTAGGCACGTTCGTATTTGTTTAAGAATTTCGCTATTGCAAATATACTGAGAAAAAAATTACTGCACATACATAGTCAATCATAATGTCATTAATTTTAACCACGTATTCGTAAGGCCTAATAAAGACGGACAATCGAAAAAAAATATTTACTCGACCATTTTTTGATTTTTAAATGCACATTTACGCCGAAAAAAAATATTTTTAAATCATTATTTAAACCCCTTTTCGGTCCGGTCCTGACCGTTGACCTACCTACTGTTCTGTCACTAACCTAACTTTAATGCCTATTCTTAACGTTTTCACTGTTCTATTTTACACCGCCACACAGAAAAAAAAAGTTGGGTATACTTTTTATGCGACATATAGTTTTTGTAGTAATTTGGCCTCCTGAACACGAATCTGGGATCAGAATTGGCCCATCACGTCACAATTTTTTCCTAACCTCAAAAAACTTGTGAAAAATAGTAAAAAATTGATGAAAATTTACTGGGAAAATTTGGAAAAAAATTTATTTCCACATCAAATAGTACATTTTTATGTAAAAGACTCTGCTGAATTCAAATCCACTGTCAGAATTGAGCTAGAACGTGTGGTTTTTTTTCTAACCTCAAAAAACCGAGCAGGAATCGCTATTTTCAAATTCTGAGCGGATTTTGACCAGATTTTGTATAAAGGGGTTTTTTGGGTCGCTGATTACGAATATGAATTCACATTGTAAAAATTCAAGATGGCTGATCCAATATGGCGGGTGTACTTTTTTGAAATCCACCGATTTCAGTAAAATTTGGCATCATAAGGATTGCTGGTTGATCTCACCTTCATTAATCACACATCTGGAGCCAGATTTTCATAAATCAAGGTAAAATTTGTAGGCAGAGTCATAATTTTAGGCCGAGTAGGCGGCATTTTTTCGGCAAAGTCACATTTTTAGATTGAAGGCATAAGCAGATGCAGTGATGTGCTGTGTGGCAGTAATGTGTCCTTTTCCTTGAACTTTAAAATTATTAAGAAATAAAAGCATCTAAATGCCATAGGAAAACTGCATAGTAGTTAAAAAAATCTGATTGGAAAACCATAAGCCCATGCACGACTAAATAAATGAAAGAATAAAGTAGAAACTTTTTTGTCTTGTCCCATGGAAACAAGCACATCACACTACACATCATTACATGTGTAGAGTCCTTAAGTCATTTTTTTAAGCGAAGTCACATTTTTAGACGGAGTGGAATCTTTTACCTTGATTTATGAAAATCTGGCTCCAGATGTGTGATTAATGAAGGTGAGATCAACCAGCAATCCTTATGATGCCAAATTTTACTGAAATCGGTGGATTTCAAAAAAGTACACCCGCCATATTGGATCAGCCATCTTGAATTTTTACAATGTGAATTCATATTCGTAATCAGCGACCCAAAAAACCCCTTTATACAAAATCTGGTCAAAATCCGCTCAGAATTTGAAAATAGCGATTCCTGCTCGGTTTTTTGAGGTTAGAAAAAAAACCACACGTTCTAGCTCAATTCTGACAGTGGATTTGAATTCAGCAGAGTCTTTTACATAAAAATGTACTATTTGATGTGGAAATAAATTTTTTTCCAAATTTTCCTAGTAAATTTTCATCAATTTTCACTATTTTTCACAAGTTTCTTGAGGTTAGGAAAAAATTGTGACGTGATGGGCCAATTCTGACCCCAGATTCGTGTTCAGGAGGCCTAATTACTACGAAAAATATATGGCGCATAAAAAGTATACCCAACTTTTTTTTTCTGTGTGGCTGTGATTAATCATGAGTTTTTAGTATTACATACATATGTTCAAGTAGGTAATCATTAAGTTTGTAGTACGTATACCTCATGGTGTGACTTATTTCTTTTCAGAGTTGTATGGTACTTACTTATTTAAAATGATAAGTACAGCCAAAAAACGCTCACTCATTCGTCCATAAAGTTGATATCGGTTGCACTTTGATTTTGAAAGCATTTGCAAGACTGGACGAGACGACGACTAGGAAATCAGCTGTTTCACTACAAGTGAAGCGCCGAGTTAACGAGAGTTTTATTTTTTAAAAGGTCGAGTAATTTTTTTTCGATTTTCTATCTTTACTAGGCCTTTCGAATACATGGTTAAAGTTAATGATATTTATAACTGAAACACCCTGTATAAAATCTTTTATATAATTGGGATTATTTTTCTTAGGTATCAGGTTCTAGTTTGACCGCTGGTCAAAAAAGATAAGAAAACAGCAGCAATAATTTTTTATTAAAATTCTAACGTTTCGCTCCCGATCTGGAACTTCTTCAAAGAATATTTTTCAATTTAAACACATTATTTTGTACAAGTCAATATTAAAAACCTAAGAGCAACCAATTCCATGTATAATATAAAACCCAAAAATTTATACGTGGTTTAGGAGGCTCAAAGCTGCTTCTAGTTTTAGTGTTTCGGTTCGCTGTGGTTAATGCACGCGTCGCATAGTACACGGGTAGTGTCTGATGTCAGTGTGAGAGATAGTACAAAGGCTTTAAGGATAAGGACAAAGCAGGTATTAATTTAAAGTAAATAAAAAACAACTTCCTTACAACAAAACAATGTAAGACTAAAAACTATTGCAAACTATTGCTCTAAACAAATTAAAATCACTAGTCAAAGAATTTCTGAACTAAGAAACGAAGAAAAATTTAAAAACGTTTTTAATTATGCGAAAAATAGTATTAGACTACCAAGTAAACGGGACAAAAGTTGCGACGAATTAGAAACATTTCCGAAATACATTTCCCGTCATACTCGTTTTGGGAATTTACATGATTTAATTTTTTTTGCTTTAATAGATTCCTCAATATTTCCCGATTATGCAAAAAATTTCCCGAAAAATCGTTTGAATGTTTATTACAAATGTATCCAAACGTTTTTGAAATAGATAGGTTGAAAAACGATCTTAATATTTTGTATAGAGACAAACAATTTCATAATTTAGAAGTTCAAAAAAACGATAGAAATATTATGCAAGGAATTTAAAATGGTATTTTCGAAAACATACAAGTTGTTTTGCCCAGTTTTAACAATTCCTGCAACAAGTGTCTGGGTAGAAAGAAACTTTTTGTATCTTAATCGCATTAAGACTTACCTAGATACCTACTTAAGAAATACGATGACACAAGAGTTCCATATGCATTTAGTCGCTTGACCTTGAAAATTTTTTTTTTCTTGCCCACTTAGTAAAAAAGCCACAGGCCTCACCTATTCACAAGCCGCACTGGCATATTATACTGTACACAGTATACCTTGCATATTGAATCTTTGTACTTGGCGGTTGGTCGAGAAGTTTTTGAAACATTGCCAAAATCAGAAATTCGTTACGTTTTACACCCTGTAAAGTCCGTTTAATATAGACCTGTAAAAATATCCATCAACAGATAAAATCTCGAGCTCACCATTTCATTTAATAAGACGCGCACTTACGTTTTAATATAGAGGAAATGCTGAAATTAATTAGATCGCCTAGATCGCTTCCTCTTGACAATTTCACCGCTCGCGAACGTTAAGGAAGCGATTAGAAGCCAACCATGCGTATTATGAGACGTACAGATGCGTACCGGTGATGTCTCTCTCGGCTGACGATACACTTTGTTGGGCAACGCTGATTTATGTGTGTCGAGCGTTGGAGTTGCCGAGAAGCAGCCGTTTTCTGCCCGTTCTAAGCACTTGGAGTTTGTTTTTATGCGATGTGCCTAGAATTATTTAATTTTCTGTTGTTTACTTTTTCATCTTGGATTTAACAATAATAAGGTAATATAATAAAGCAGTAATAATAAGTAGTTCATGAAGAATAGTATGAAAAGAGGCAGACAAATGTGTGCCCGTAAAAATACTTAAAGTGGATAAGTTATCCAAGAGAAACCGCAAGAACGCCAAGTGTTTTAACAAATCTCTCGCTGTTTCTCCGAAATAGAAGGTCTTGCTCCCTCTATCATATAGCATCGCTTAGGGATTGTCTTGAACCAGTGAATAGCGTTTATACATGTTAAAATTAATAACATAGGGTGTTTCTAAAACATGGCACCATCTGATATTCCATTTAACGAAAGCAGATTTGTGTAAACAAACGCTTGATTTTTATGCAAAATGGTGGTTGTGGTATTCCTTTATTTAAAGTTGTCTTTGTGAAAATAAAGTCTACATTATACATATCATAATATCCCTGGATTTGAATATAAATTTGTGTATGTTTTTAAACAAGGATATTTTGGGTATACTTTAATAGAATACTAATTATTTTCTATTTTATTAAGTATATTGTAAATTTTAAATATTTTCTTTACTATGAATTTCTAGAGGGGTCAGCGACCCAGTGCCCCCCGCACCAGCCGCCAGTGCGTCCCAATTTATTAACTTTGAGGGTTAAATATCATTCTAATTCTACGGTAAATAAATTGTAATCATTTAATATTTTTTTGTTGCAGGAAATCTGTCAGAGGCCTCACTTCATGGGAGAAGCTACTGGTGATAATTCGCGATTTTCTGTAGAAGCCGGCGAACTGGGAGACCAGTGGCTTTTGGCGGCTGTCGCCTCTTTGGCCTTGACTCCCAAATTCCTGGAGAGGGTGATTCCTCCCGATCAAGGATTTGAAAGCACCAGTTCTTACTGCGGAGCATTCAGGTGAGTCAGAAAAGTGTCCTTATAATGGTAGAAGTTTCTGAAAATCAGAAATTTAAAAAATATATACAGTGTGATTCATAAATGGTGACCAAAAATGAAACTTCGTATTCTTTGGTGAATTTTGAGAGGAGTCTTTCCTATATAAGTTTTAGGCTTAATAAGTGAAATAATTTGAAATTGGGTACATGTATTTTATATAAACATTGACCAAAATTTTTCCAAATTATTTCACTTACTAGTTTTTAAATTATTTAAAAAAATTAAAAATATTTTTTGAAGGTTAACACCCTGTATCTTTTTAACGAAACGTCCTAGATAAAAACTTTATAGGAAAGATTCCCTTTAAAATTCACCAAAGAATACGCGGGTCCATTTTTGGTCACCATTTGTGAATCACCCTGTAAAATCTTTAAAGTACGATCTTCTTAAAGCAAATCCTACTTTGGTGTCTGAACGTGTCTTTGCGTAATGTGGTGAATTTTTACCGTTGAGTGAAATTACTTTATAAAATTTCTTCAGTTTGCTTTAAAAACCTCCAAAAATATTTGGTAAATTGTGATATTTCTACCTATAACTTGAAAATCTGTCCCTTTAGACACTGGGTTTATAAGAGTTTTCTGTCTAAAACCCTTTGAAATTATAGCATTAATTTAAGAAATTCTATACAGGGTGTTTGTTAAGTCGATGCATTCCTTGCAGGAGGTTCTAGTAAAAGTGATTTGTGATATATTTCCTTAATATACCATATTCCGAAAACGCTTAGTTTCTGATCTACAGGGTGATAAAGTTTAAATAAAAAAATGCATATTTATAAATATTGCGGAAACCACACAAAATATTTTAATGAAATTTTACAAGCTTTGACAATTAACAACAATATGTGTTTTACGATAAAAATATTGTTTTTAGTTTCATCAGTGGCGTGCGCATAGGCACGTCTTATTTTTAAAGAAAAAAATGATACGCCACTGATTTTTCTTAAAAATTAAAATTATTTTTCAATTCCATGTTCAATTTGGAAGAGAAAAGGTATCTCGACTGTTTTTCTTAAGACGCACCGTTTTCGAGTAAAAAAATGAAAATCGATTTGTTGCATGGCATAATACGGTTTCAATGCACTCAGCTTTTTTTTGTACCAATATTATTACAAAAAATTATTATTCCTCGCAGTTAACATCAGTTTAAAAAAATTTTATCAGTTTTTAGATTTACTATGCACTATCTAAACAGAAATTAACAAGTTGGCTGTGCACTCGTTTTTTGTTATTGTTTGAAAAAATTAATAATAGCTGTCATTTTAACTGTTTGAGTGTGAAGCAGTGAAGTGCATAATTTGCTATTTTTCAAATTATTGAAACCGAATTACGCCATAAATCGATTTTATTTTTTTTACTCGAAAACAGTGTGTCATAAGAAAAACAGTCGAGATACCTTTTCCCTTCCAAATTGAACAAGGAATTCAAAAATAATATTTATTTTAAGAAAAATCAGTGGTGTATCATTTTTGTCTTTAACAATATTTAGAGACGTGCCTATGCGCACGCCACTGGTGAAACTGAAAACAATATTTTTATCGTAAAATATGTATTATTGTTAACTGTCAACGCTTGTAAAATTTCATTAAAATATTCCGCAATATTTATAAATTTGCATTTTTTTATTAAAACTTTAACACTCTGTGGATCGGACACTAAGCGTTTTCGGAACATGGTATATTAAGGAAATATTTCACAAATCATTTGTACTATAACCTCCTGCAAGGAATGCATCGACTTACGAAACACCCTGTATAGAATGCCCAAAAAACTTTGTTGTATTTGTTGTAAAATCACGTAAGTACTATTTTTATTAAAATATTCATTAACATTACTGATTATATTTAACAATAGTACTTACGTCCTTTTCATTCCTCCATATTGTCCCCCATTTTTCTCCGCTACGAAAAAAAAGAACGAAAGTTGTACGGATTTTAAAAAAAATCTTGACATATATCCCATTGTTTTTTTAAATACCCTATATATTTTTAGATCACGGGAAAGACCGTCAGACCATCATCATCTAATGCGGAGCAATATTAAAAATTTATATTTCGCTCTAATATGTAAAATATTTGCACGGTGGTAAAAAGACCAATATCAGATATCTTTATTTTCCTCAAACAATGCGCAATCTAGTTATATTCTTATTAAAAATAACCGTAGAAAATCCCGAAGGCTCTTCTAACGAGATCAACATCGTCTTCTGTGGCTCGCGCTTCGTCCTCTCGCACAACAATAGGCAACAGTTATCTAAGAAACGCGATAGGCCGTATAAAATAAAATCTTCACAATATTTCATTTTAATAATCACTTAAGACTGTTTGTTGTAGATGTAAAGAATGTGAGCGCGATCTTATCCCTGCATCTTCTGGTTTTGTAGTATGGACGGTTACCTTGGCAGAGTAAATAGTCGACGGTATTATAGATTTCCTCTTCGCGGAATTGAAAGAGCTTCACTGAAACAGTTTTTTACACCTTTTCCGTTTGAGATGTTTTATGTCATAATAAATTTAATTTCAGGGGTTGGTTACATTTCAGATTGCTATAATATGATTAGAGCATTGAAAATGTGCACACTTATTCAGTTTTTCATCCTGAGAAACCTTTTTTTAATAACGTTTTATCGTATCTTATAGTGAAATAACGCTTCGCGGATGAAAACGATATATATTTTTAAAATTACTTGCTGAATTTTGCGAATTCGAAACCATGGCAGATTTTGTTTCATGAACAAGAAGGACTGCTGCAAAGCCATTTTCTAACATCAGCATTTTTTGTCTCTTGTAGTCATTTTACTACGTATCCGGAGACACGCTGTATATGTCTATTTACTAAAAATTTATTATAAGGTCAAGAAGCTTTAGTTCCCTCACTATACATCCTAATTTGTTAGGAATTTCTCGCCAGTAGAAATATTTTAGTTCAAATCACAAATCATAATAGACTGACGTAATTACTATTTAAATATTTAAAATAGAAATAGTTGCCAAAACTGTAAAATGCAACTAAAATTGATAGTACATACTTGGATATTAACAACTAAAAACCACCAATTTTAGTCAAGAAATTAGGAAAAATGTATTTTTTTCAGTTTCTTGGCCAATTTACCATAATTTATGTAACCTGCTTTACATTTGTTATTAATTTTTTACATTAAATTGTTCAAGAAATTGTATCAGTTCATCATATTTATATGTGTGGCACCTTTTTACAATTTTCAATCATTTCTGTTGTTCTGGGGCTAGGCTCTGTATGGGACCTGCTATTAGAACGCCTAGATGTTGATATCGTTTCTTGTGGTACAGATAACAGTAAACTACAAAGCATAATAAATTGACTTATTAGATACACTAATGCAAAAAATTAAGGGTCAAAAGAATTTCCGTAATTTTTTCGTGATTTTTGACAGACTGTATTTAGGTGAAAAATGGTTCTATCGGGAATTAAAAAAAAAGCATTTTCAAGCTCTAAGATTCTAGTTTTTAGATCTTTCGGTCGAAATTTTTTAGAAGCTATGGTTATCATTCTAAGAAACAGCGCGAAATAAAATTTTACAAATTTTCTTTTTTTTGTCTCTGGTCCAAGGACTTGGAAAATTTTTTTCATTGCATGGCCCAGATAACTTGTTTATTCAGCTTCAATTTCCTTTTTTTTAATTTTAATACGACCATTTTTCGTCGAAATATCGTACTTTTAATGGCTGTACAGAGAATTGAAGGGCAGTTTCGAAAACTGGAATAAATTTCCTATAACATGTTTGGTTTTTCGAAAATTGACGGCTAAATTAGAAATATTCATGAAATGACTAATGTTAAGCATGACTTTTACAGTTCCATATACCCAAAAGAACCCTGTGAAGTGTCATCTCGATCTAGCGAACCGTTTCTTTGTTCCGTCAAACTTTTGAAAAAAATTAAAGGGTCACGTTTTTTGAGCTTAAACACCTCATAATCATGATTAAAATGGAAAAAAAAATTTTTTGAGGTTTTCTCACATTTTTACCGAGATAGGTATCGATGATTGAAGACAAAAGGATCCTTTTCCATTAAAAGTCCGATATTTCGATGAAAAATGGTTGTATCGAAATTTCAAAAAAAAGAAATTAAAGCTGAATAAATAAGCTATCTGGTCCATGCAATGGCTTAGCAGAAAAAAAAAATTTCCAAGTCCGTGGAAAAAAAAGAAAATTTGCGCTATTTATTGGAATTGCATGATAACCGTACTTAGCTCCTAAAAAATTTCGACCGGAAGATCTAAAAACTAGAATCTTAGAGCTTCAAAATGCTTTTTTTTAATTCCCGACAATTTTCACCTAAATACAGTCTGTTAAAAATCACGGAAAAATTTCGGAAATTCTTTTGACCCTTTAATTTTTTGCATTAATTTATATATTAATAACAAGCTCGCATTCAGCGTGATTCATATCTTATCTAAAAAAATAAGGAACGGACACCTCGAAAATTGTTTAAAAGAATTAAAAGTGTTATCTATATGCCATTGGAGTTTGGTTGACTTTAATACCTAATCTAACGCAATGCACGTACAGTCAGTCGTCATGTACAAAAAATTTACGTACAAAAAGCGAAATGAATTTAACGATGTAATAAATAAGTGAACTTTTATCACAGCTATTTTATTGTAGCGAATTTAATTATTGTTTTTATTATTGTTATTAATTCCCTTCACTGTAAATGCAATCAATAAATGATAAGTAATTAGTGTTTTGTTACCTGTTAAGTGTTAAAAAATGTGACCACCGACGACTCATCGACCACCGACCTTTGGGCACGTCTCATCCAGATTTGACGAACTAAGACAAATATACATTCTCGATGGTATTGTAGTTGTAAGTTATTAGTAGCAGCTACTCCTATAACACGTGTATGTAAATAGTTTTCACTTCAGTACGATACACTTCATCTTTGAGGTGTTCTCATAAAACAATCGAGAAGGTTTAAGTCA